TTTTTTTTTTTTTTTTTTTTTTTTTTGTCTTTTGTCTTTTTCCGTGTCCGGCAACGGATCGCAACCCTCAGTGTTGCCCCCGTACCGGACCGGGGACCGGCAACGGAATCGCAACCCTCGGTGCTGCTCCCGCGCCTCGCTCAGCCAGTGAGCGGGAACCGGTCTGTATGTGGGATCCGAACCCTCGGGCAGGAGCGCCGCTGCGCTTCCCAAGCGGCGCACTTATCCAGTGCGCCACCGGGCCGGCCCTCACTGGCCCTTTCTTTCAAATGTGGATTAGACATTAAGAAAATCTTATAATCTTTCTTTTTTTTAGAGTGTTCTTAGCTTTTAGGGTGAGTCTAACCAGATTTATTCGTTCTGCTGATCCTTCTCTTACCCCTTATAATTGGTTAACCTCCAAATTATTACTCAATTATTTTAATTTTATCTGGTTATTGGAAATATGAGTTGTGTGGTAATGATTTCATTCACAGGGAATTAAATACATAGATTAATAAACAGCAATTGCATGTTTTTACATAAATTACGTCTTTGGTTTTATTATTTTGATGAAAGCAAGTGAGGAACTCTCCACTTCTCTCACATTTGCATTTAACCCTTCATTTAGTAATGCTTAATTAAAAGCAGTCATTTTCTCGTGTCACTACTTTTACTTATTCAGTTCACATTCTGTGAAGGCAAACTTACATACTCATTCCAAATGTTACCATGGCTTGTAGAAATGGTATCTGTGTTATGAGCTAGCAATAGTTCTATCTTTTTGTTCTTGTGAATATGTTTCTGGTAAAATAGCATATACTCTGTACGTTAAAATGTTAATAAGTATATTTAGAAAGATTAGAAGCAATATTTTAACATCATGATCTTTATATGAAGGATGCTTCTTACTTGATTTTTCCAGTATTAAGAGAGCCAGGATTTGACTTTATAGTGGATTTAGTGTTACTACCAAGCCACGTTCATTGGTCCAGTGGTGAATCCCATAATGAAGGTTAGCTAGAGAAGTACCTTCTTCTTGGCTGGATTCTCTTTTTTGATGTCCTAGTTCTTCATCGTTTAGTGAAGTTCTTCATTCTACATCAGGATATGAGACTATTTCCGTATTTTGAACTGACAAGCAGTTTGCAAATTCACTTAAATAGCTCCAACTATTAACTGCTTTGATTTGCTTCTCCATAGATCCATGCAGATGTCAAAACAGGAATTAGGGCCCTTTTGAATGCACTCTATGAAAACTTCATGATACAGAATTCAGTATTCACCAACCAAGATAATTATGTTTTTCTACAAAAAGTAGGATCTGCATGCACAATGCACTTCCTTAATATCTGTATAATGATGTGAATCCTCTCTATTTTCTCTCTCCCCCACCCCCCCACACAGAGGCTACAATGGACTTACCATATTACATATATTATTTCAAAATCTGCTGTTTTAAATTTGTTTTTATCATAGTTTAAAGAGTTTTTTTTTCTTTTAAAGCATCCACCCAATTTCTCCCTCTCTAGTAGCAACTACTCCTATGCCTCTTTTCATTCTTTCTTTTGATATATCTCTAAATAAATACCTGTACTGATACCTTTTGATTGTTTAATTTTAGGCTTTACCTTTGACTTTCCACTATGGAAGATGAGGATTTAGTTCTTTTTACCATTCACAAGCCCCATATCATGCACACATGTTTTTATCTCCCGTCCTGTATGAATATGAGTTAAAATATTTGTTTCCTTGGTGTCCTGTGTTCCCATCACGAATTTATTTCCGAACTCTCGGTTAGTTTAAATTTAAAATACATAAGTTGTTCTATTAATTTCAACCTCCTGGAGATCCCTCCACCAGTCTTTTGACCTGCCTTCAGTGAGGCCTGTTGCTCTTCAGGTTGAGTGAATAGATCTCATCTTATTATCCGCATTTACCATTATCTTGAGGGTGTACTTCACCTTCCTCTTGGATTAAATTTCCTGTGAGCAGGAGCCTATTTCTTTTGTTTTCTTGTTTATACCTTCATTTGGATGGAACATCTTCTCCAATAACTTTCCAAGAAAGATGCATGGTAGTTACATTTTTGACACCTTGAAAACATTAAATGTATTTTTCCTACTCTCTCACTTAATTTGTAATTTGTCCAGGTATTGATTTCTGGATTTGGAATACTTTTTACTCAGAATTTTTAAGGCATTACTCTATTGTATTCTAGTTTCTGGTTTTGCTAAAGGAAGTTCAATGCCACACTTATTTTAATCTCTTTTATTTTTCTCTCTCTCTCTCATTTGCCTCTCTCTATACAAAAATTGTGGGCCTCTCTTTGTCTCCAGTGTTTTATAAAATTTTGCAATGACATACCTTGGTTATGGGTCCTTTAAAAGTAGAAATCCATGATTTTCCTTTATGGGAATTTTGCATAATTTATTTATTTGATGATTTTCTCCTTTCTGTTTTTCAAGTTTCTCCTTCTAGAGCCAATATTATTTGGATGTTGAATTTCCTGGATTGATGCTCTAAGTTACCTAGCTTTTCCATCTCTGTATTTTGCTCTATGCCATCTTTTGCTGAGATTTTCATTTATGCAATCATATTTTTAGTTTCTTATTTTTTCTCTTTTTATAACAATGTGTTCTTGTTTCACTGACGTAATGTACTTTTTATAAGTTGATATAATGTATTCTTTATAAGCTGAGTTTTTTTCCTTAATTTTTACTTCCCTCCATATGATCTATTTCATCCAAGTGGTTTTTCTCTGTGTATTTGTTTTGTTCTCTGTCTTTGATGTTTAAGGCTTTCTTCAAATATCTAGTGACCCTGAATTAGTGACTCATGCATAAAAAAATGGAGCACTGGAAGAGTTGATTGGGAGCTCTGTGCCCAGGGCTAGATCTTGTGACTAGCTGGCCTCGCAGTAGGATAACACTGCAGGGCTGTTTTACCGAGAAACCCTCAGTATCCCTATCTTTAGGCTTTTTATTTGTTCTTGACCCGGTCAATTTCCCCAGTAAAGAAGGCATAAGCCAGGCTGCGTTGAGTTCTGGAAGCCATGTGCAGGAAGAGGACTGGAGGTGACAACATGTGGTGTGAATGTCCACTGAATGTTTGCAGTAAGGTGGTACTCCTGCCCTCCTCCATGCTTGGTTTCCTAAGTCCCTGGCCTTGATGGTGAAAAAGGAAAATAAGGAAGGCATCTCAGTGATCTGTGTATTAGATTTACCCTTCTAATCCTTTACAGGGGTGGGGAAGAAATGTTACTAGTCTAGTCTATAGTGAATGGGAGAGGGTATTTTAAGCTCTAACTACTTGTAAAATAAATTTTCAGCCTCCTTCTGTTTTTAATATCCCTATCACTCTCACTTCTAGAAGTGCCCAATGACATCACTTCTGGAGTCTTTTGGGGGTGTTGATTGATAAAATTATTTTGCTTCTTGGCTTCTCCCCATGATTGGCCTGGGAATCAGCTCTCTTGGCTTTGTTAAATCAGTTACTGCTTGTCCTTCTGCTTTTCAGTCTTTTATTGCTAGTGTCTCCCCTCTTGATCTCTTTTATTGTAGGTTCATAGTTTTGCCCCTTTTCTTTTTATTGTAGTAGGATTTTATAACTAGAATACCCTGTGATCTGCCATTTTAACCAAAAATTCTGTTTTAAGATTCTTTCTTGTCAATAAATATACTTCTACATCAATGCTTTCTTTCTTTCTTTCTTTCTTTCTTTCTTTCTTTCTTTCTTTCTTTCTTTCTCTCTCTCGCTCTCTCTCTCTCTTTCTTTCCTTTCTTTCTTTCCTTTCTTTCTTTCCTTTCTTTCCTTCCTTTCTTTCCTTCCTTTCTTTCCTTCCTTCCCTTCCTTCCTTCCTTCCTTCCTTCCTTCCTTCCTTCCTTCCTTTCTTCCTTCCTTTCTTTCCTTTCTTTCCTTTCTTCCTTTCCTTCCTTCCTCTCCTTCCTTCCTCTCCTTCCTTCCTTTCCTTCCTTCCTTTCCTTCCTTTCTTTCCTTCCTTCCTTCCTTCCTTCCTTCCTTCTTCCCTTCCTTCCCTTCCTTCCCTTCCTTCCCTTCCTTCCCTTTCTTATTTAAAGATGACCGGTAAGGGGATCTCAACCCTCGGCTTGGTGTTGTCAGCACCACGCTCAGCCAGTGAGCCAACCGGCCATCCCTATGTAGGATCCGAACCCGTGGCCTTGGTGTTATCAGCACCACACTCTCCTGAGTGAGCCATGGGCCGGCCCTACATCAGTGTTTTAATGGCTACATAGGAATTTCATTTTAGAGATATAACTAACCCCCCACTGTTATAAACATGGATTGATATAAACAAAATTGCAAAGAACCTTCTTCTAGCTAAATTTTGTACCACTCTTTAATTTAAATACATTCACAATGTGAGAAAATCATGAATCTGCTCTTAAAATGTTTCTTACAAACTGACATCTTATTTCCAATTGTATATTTCATTTTCAATTTTGGACTATTCATTGTAAACATCCTATTAACAACTTGTTTGACTAGATGGTAAATTCTGTATATGTTTAGTTCATCCCAGTTAGCCAGCCTGTGCCTGGAATATGGTAAACCCTCAATACATATTTGCTAAGTAGACATCTGCATAATAAGTAAATTTTTTTTTTCTCCTTTTTGTCTTTTTTACTGACCGGTAACGGGATCGCGACCCTCGGTGTTGCGCCCGCACCGCGCTCAGCCAGTGAGCGGGAACCGGTCTCCACATGGGATCTGAACCCTCGGCGGGAGCGCCGCCGTGCTCCCAAGCGGTGCACTCTCCAGTGCACCACTGGGCCGGCCCATAATAAGTAAATTTTATTTTGTTTTAAAACTTCAAAGAAAAGTTTAAAGTAATAAGTTTAAAGTATCCTATTTTCATCACTTTGTCTCTTGAGGTAAATTGAGAACCAGATTTGAAAAGAAGGAACTCACCATGACAGGGTGATATATAGGCATAGCTACACACAGCGCATCTGGATAGCAAGTAGTGCCATATGCTTATGTGGACAGACTTGTAACAAATGTCTCTCAAGATAAAACACTAACATGAACTATGTTTAACTGCACTTTATTTTGGAATTTAACTTAAGGATGAGAATCCTATTGTATAGAAATAATATATACCTGTTGAGATTTATTGTGTGGTTAAATTAAATATTATTTGATTAATCTAGTTGACTGTTTCTCAAAGTGGGGTCTATGCATCATCAGTTTTGGAATGACATTAAATCTTGTTGAATATGCTCTTTTCCTTGGCTCAAGCAAGATCTACAGAATCAGAATCACCGTGAGTGAGTAGGGCAGGATTCTGCATATAACAAGCTCCCCAAAAGCCTCAGGTGCCCACTAGAATCAACTTGTCTCTTCTCGACTAAATTTATAAGCAACTGTTTAAGAACATTAGAGGCACATCTTATATAAATTTGAAAAATCCAATGAAATTTTAGAGCTAATGATAAGAAAGGAAATTCTAATAAATGGATTGAACATGTTTTATTGCTTTTTCCTTCAACTATTATTCTGTAAGAATTTGACTAATTAGCTTACCATGCAGAAAGTCAGGAAAATTATCACAGGTTTTTGTCCCTAAACTTCTCATTCTCTGATGTAAAACCAATGCCTAGTGGCATCCATTTGTGGTTTTAAAAAAATAACAAATGCACACTGTACACATCTATTGCATATATTGCACTTCTAACCTAAAATTTCAGTTTTTTAACCCAATGGTCTTTATTTTAGGTAATATTTTTGTTGGAATTTGATTTAATTATAGACAAGCTGATGTATTATGAGAGAGATTTTAAATTGAACATTGCTCAAGGTGACAATTTATGCAGTGACATGGCATGTATAAGAGCCCTTACCACAGTGCCCAGAACATAACAGGTATCAATTAATGCACTCCCCCTTCTATGTAACATATACGCTTTAAGCTCTTGACATGAGGTGTAGTACTTATAATTATCTCCATTTTAAGGATAAGAAAAGGAGGCACAACAAGATTATTTATGAAGTTACCCAAGGCCAATTAACTGGTAAATAGTGAAGGCTAATATTCAACCCAGAAAATCTGTCTCTAAGAGCTCATGTCTGCAATAGCTTCTTCCATCAAAGATGATAGAAACATCACTACAATAATAGGTAGGCACTTTTATATGTAAAAGCTGATGGAACAGATGTATCTTTTGAAATATATCTTGATATTAATTAAGTTTTTGTCTTCCTACACAATTTTGCAGATTAAATATTTATAGTAATTTCTTTAAAAAATATACACCCAAAGAGTGACCCTGTGATATGGTAAAAGACTTACCAATCTGGATTCGAATGCTGGCTCTATGATTTATTGGCTGTGTGCAGGCCACTTGAACTTTGAATCTCAATATTCTCATCTGAAATATGGGGATGATAATTTACCTATAGTATTTTAATAGAGTAGAGATAATCTGTGTAATAGTGACTCATTGAGCTCCTTGTACTCAATTAAATACAGCTCTTGTAATTTAAAATACTATCCTGAAAGGATTATGGAATGTCTTTGTTTTATATAAGACATGTACTATATAGGAGTTATAATTTTTATCAAAACATCAAAATATCTGTTTTCTGTTTAGATCTTCAAGGATGATGAATACTTCATTTTTTATTTAATCTCATATTGTCCTTTGGAGAGAAATCTGTGGTTGGCTATCCCACAGATATTTAACTCTCACTCTTTTCTTCTTTTCAGCAGACTTCCTTAGTACCATGCTTTTGCGAAGTTCAGGAAAATTAAATGTGGGCACCAAGAAAGAGGATGGTGCGAGCACAGCCCCCACTCCTCGTCCAAAGATCTTGCGTTGTAAATGCCACCACCACTGTCCAGAAGACTCAGTCAACAATATTTGCAGGTTGGTGATATAAGTGATTTAAACTTAAACAAAAAGTCATACTTTTTGACTATAGAACTGTAGGTTAATGTTTCCAAGAGCACATTTTGGAGACTAATGCCTAACTCCCTTAACTCTCAGAGCTATGCCTGCATTTAGAGAAATATCGAATTGTGTTTTGCCCTGAAGTGGTTTTCTGAGACTCTTCTTCCTTCCTCCAAACAGCACACATGCACTTAAGTAGAGCACAGATCCCAGGCTCCTTGTCAAGGAGCAAAACCCAGTAATTTTCTTTTAAAGAACACTATCCCCACAATTAGTTCAGCAGCAGGGAGTGTCAGATGTTTGTGGTAGTTTTTTTTGTTTGTTTTAACTATTAATGATGCCAATGGCATTAGTATTTCAGAAAGAACACCTAAGCTGTTGGGAATATTCATAAACTGACTCTAGGGAACAGTATAGTGACAGAGTTTGTGTGAATCCACCAGGTGTTAGGGAAGACATTGTCAGAGTACTAGAAAATAAACTCTTTAATAGGTTAGTCATGTTTTCATAGATGCTTTATAACATTTGAAACTTGATTATTTGCCTTTTTCTTCTGTACACATGTTTAGGCAGCCACATCCAGTTTGTTCATCACTGTAGCGGCATTTACTCCCTAAGGTGAGGATGGCAGTGGGTAAAAAGCTAACACTTAAGGAGGCCAGAGGTTGTCAACAGAGAAGCAGATAAGTTAACCAGGCACTGTGGATCTCAGGAGTTACAGTGTCAGAGAAGCAGAGTGTGCTTTAAGAGAGGTCATGGACTCAAATAGGGGGATGGACTGCTAGGTTTGGAGTCCAGATGGAACATTGGGTATTCATTAGGCAGGAAGGTGCATGAAGCTGAGTTGAATTTTTTTTCTTCTTTCTTACACCTTTAAGTTTCCTGTGAAGTGTAATCTAATACAAGTTTACCAGTGTATCCTGGGAACTTAGTATATTTAACACAAAAAATACATATTAACTGAGTGACACAGGGAGGAAAGTTGGGTATATTCATAAATATATATCTCATTTAAACAGCAAAACAACTCAACTTTGAAAGGTTTAGTAACTTGGTTCCTGTACTATAGAACAAAGTTGGGATTACTGACTTTTGTGCCAAGGTATAATGATTCCAAAGCTCAGACAGTTTTTCCCGGGAAATACTCTCTTTACAGTAAACAGAAAAAGTGTCAGGAAAGTTCAAATATATTCTGAACAAAGGAAAATCAGCAGGAGGAAGCAAATTGGGGGTATTTTACTATTTTGTTTGTAGTATTCAGAATACATCTATGTGTCATTTGAGCTATTGTCCTGGTGGTCAGATGTTCAGGATTTTCTAAAACTATCCCAATTTCAAATAGTTTGTCCTATTTTCCTTATAAGTCATTTAAATGTCCTAAGTTGGTTTGGGAGAAAATGTTAAGGCAGCACTAACTGCAGTGGAAATGCTTGGTTTTGGGAGGGAAAAGCTTGGCATGTTCAAAGGAGACTGGTTTTCCTAGAGCACAGAAAATAGGAGGAGATGTGGTAGGAGTTGAACCTGTAGACCAGGAAAGATTACTGACCTGGTACACTATATTAAGAATGTTGGTCTTATTCCTAAAAGCATTGAGAAGCCTTTGAAGGAGGTGTTTATAAAGGAGTGGCAGTGAAGATGAACTAATCTGATTTGAATTTTTGAAAAATTTTCTTTGCTGAAGAGTATTGAATGTATTAGAAGGAGACAAAGGGAATTCAAGAACAACAGTTAGGTCAGAGAAATTGAAAAGTGGATTTAGTAAGAACAGTTCATATGAGGAAAAACTGACCTTGAACTGGGGAGGTGCTGGTGCAGGACAGAGTTGGGTATATTTGAGAAATATTTGAGGTAAAGTTGTGTGTTGATGGATTGAATATGGGAGAGGGTGACAAGAGGACTTTACAAGTGCTTGGAAGTAGATTTAGTTGCCTTTTAACGGAAGAGTATGGAGGACAAGAACCAAGTCCCAATTTGGACATGCTAAGTTTGAGGATTTTGACACTTCCAAGTGGAGATATCAAAGAGTGGGCAGTGGGATATGGATCTGGAGCTCAGAAAAGAGGTTGAAGAGAGAGAACTGAGTGAATAGAGCATTAATTAGTCCATATTTGCTGTAAAACAGCCTCAAAATCACAGTGGTTTCCAATCAAAGACATTTATTTTTTCCTTCAGAGGTTTATAAGTGGGCTGCAGCTATACTGGGCTCTGGTGGGCTTATGTGGGCTTGACTTCAAGTTGTTGCTTGACTTCAGGCCTGCTGCATGTTTCTTCATTCTTGATGGACCAGCAGCTTCTCAGGGCATATTCTTTTTCATGTGAGTGTGAGAGAGAAACCTCTTAAAACTTCTGCTTGTGTCATGTTCTCTAACTTATTATTTACCAAATCAAGTGACATAGTCTTGCTCAAAGTCAAGGGTAAATCATGGCTATGGTGAAGCATGAAGATTTGAGATCAATAGTAGAACAATCCAGCCTACCAGAGTAGGACTAAGCCTTGAGACACATAATGCTTAGGTAAAGGAGGATGTCCCTGAGAGGCTAAGAGCAGTAAAGCAGTGAGTATGATATCAATGAAGCCACGTTTACAGAGGGAGGTAATAAGATCAGCTGTGTTGGATGCTATTAGAGGTCAAGTGGGGTAAGAACTGAAACATGGCAGTCATATTTATTAACATTGATAACTGCAGTTTAGAGATATTTAATGTAGTAGAGATGGATGCCAGATTGGAATGGGCTGTGAATTATATGGTTGCCAAACTTTGATTTATGATAGCAAAGAAAAAGAAAACAAAAATACAAGAAAAAGAAACAAAAACAGCAGCAGTAACAATGGAACCCCTCAAGAGCATGACTATACCATTACAGTCAACATGAATGGGTTAACTTGTAGAAGCCAACATAAAACTAGTATTTTTTGGAACTTTTATAAATAGTTGCATGTTTACTTTCACCTATCTTTAATCATCACAACACTCCTATCAAGAATGTAGCATTATCTATATTTTTCAGGTGAGAAATCAGAGGCTCTGAAAGGTTAAGTAACTTTCATTAGTTATGATGATATGATGAAAAAATTGTGGTCAATATTTCAAAGTCCTGAATTCTTGCAGCAGCCAACCTTGACACTAGTTCTCAAAGGAGCGAATATGTACTCTTGAGTCAAGTGCACATGCATATTGCTAATAAGGTATTGACTCCAGTTGAGTCTGCTTGTGCACTGAGATCAATCATGTGTGAATCAGAGGGGCTACTTTTGTTCGTCTTAAAACCCAGGATAAATTCATGGCTTTCTACTTCCATTCCTGTAAGCCCACACTCTACTCTTTGCCCTCTGAGTCAGTACTTCTGAAGCTATCTCTGATGGAAGATAGTCCTGTTTCCCAATAAGTCATACACTGCTACTTTCCTAAAGTACAATAAAAATGAATTATTAGAAAAATGAATTTAAAAATACTTGCGAATTATATGCCCCATTTTTTTCTATTTCCTGTTATTTAGATTCGACACATAAATTTTTCCTCTCAAATTACTATACAGTTTCAATTTCTGTATTAACCTCTTCACAGACTGGTATCAAGCAGTATTCTGGCCTACAGGAGAACTCACCTTGAATAATACTGCACTAAATATCGTACTCCTAGGTAAAACAGTTTTAAGGACAAGGGTGTGCTTTTGTATGCCTTAGATAAGGGCTGGTTGAAGTCGTCTGTTGTGAGGCATTGTACTGGGCAGGTCTTAGCAAAACGGTGTTGTGGGTAGGTTTCATGTTCATTACCACTTCCACCTCCTTGGAGAGAATAATCTAAAAGGAGGCCAAGAATGAAGAGTGCATTATGCTTAACAGGTATTCTGAAGCCCTCCACGATAATTCAGAGAACATGTGCAAAGTTCAGAGACTTGTAAACTCTTCGCCAGGAATATCAATTACTATCAGTTAGCCAAGGCTAATATCATTCTTGGCTAATCTCTGTCAGGTACTTATGTGTCTGCTTACAAAATCCAATCCATTTCCATTGCTCATGTCATGCATGTTAGACAATCTAGTGCAAATATTTCATGACTGAACACAGTATTAGAGGCTTTTTTATATTTGTAATTCAAATTAAGGGGTGAAGCCACTGTCCTGTCTTCTCAAGATAATGTCTGTCTCCGAAATATCTTTCCAGGTGTCATTTTGCATTGTGATCCTTCGAATTCCATTTCCAAATTCTATTCCTAGCACCACAGACCACCTCTGCATGCCTTGAACTCTGCAGTCTCCCCGAGTAACTCTTCTTATGTGGCTTTCACCATGCCAGTGTTCTGTCTCATTTTCCTGTCCTAGCAGGTGTTATCTCAGCCTTGATTGTTTATGTTTTTCTCTATGTAATCTAGTCTGGCTTTAGTTACCCTTGTTTTCCTTGGTGTGGCCTGTCATAGTCCTTTTGTCCCTGTCTCAACACCTCTCCCAGGTTCCTCTACTTCCTCACACGTCTATCCATTTCTAAAAAATTTTACTCTTTTTTCAGGGATAATTTATAATACTTCCTCATTTATCTTATTGAGTTCTGACCAAGAATTCTCCTGCCTGGGCAGTTTTCAGGATTTACAGGTGTAATAAATCAAATTGTATGTTTGCACAGGATGTGCAAGTGACACCAGGCTGCTTAAATGAGGAATTAGTTACGTCTCCAGCTGTATATCTTGAAGAGTCACAGGGGCCAGAAGGAAAAGCTTAGGGGCTGTGAGCCTTTTTACAAAGTTTGTATTTACCCAGACCTTTTGAACCTCTTGCTGAGTGCAGTGGTGTGAATTTTCAGACTCAAGGTCTCAGAGTATTTAAAGTGTGCATTGTTCTGGTTAGCTTATGCATGGTACCTTGCATGCAGAACTTCATTATAAGCCATCCAGTTTTTATCACTGTTGCCCATTTAGACATTGAGCCTTATGATTCTTTTTTTCCAGTAGGGGATATTGTTTTCAAACCATTGCACTTA